AAAGGACCCAGTGGCTTCTCAGAGTCAGGTCTTTGAACAGTGCTTATATCCTAGGAAGCCACAGGAAAGATGGGAGCCAAATTAAAAATCAAAACAAAAACAACTTCAAGAGATCCGCAGCCTTCCAGGGTTTGGAGGTGTATACTGATCTTTGGCACTGTGTACAAATTTCATTTATTTATGCTTTTCATTCATATGGAATCAACTGATCAGACCCACTGCAAATCGATGCTAATTTATAAATACAATGGCATAGTCTGGTATCAAGGAGACCTCATGATGCAAAGGTTAAGCGCTTAGCTGCTAACTGAAAGGTTGGTGGTTTGAACCCACCCAGTGGCTCCATGGAGATCTGCTGCCATAAAGATTACAGCCTAGAACCCTATGGGGCAGTTCTGCTCTGTCACATGGGGTCGCTATGAATCGAAAATTGACTTGATGGCACCCAACAACAGGAAGTCTGGTATCTGGCCCCAAATTCCAGCCTCACTGAGTCCTCCTGGAAAAGGTCTTTTCCTGGTCAGGTCTGGAGAATTCCAGGGTTATCATCATTATTAGAAGCCCTGGTGGTGCAGTGGTTAAGAGCTCTGCTGCTAAGTAAAAAGGTCAGCAGTTCAAATCCACCAGCCGCTCCTTGGAAACCCTATGGGGCAGTTCTACTCTGTCCCATAGGGTTGCTATGAATTGGAACCGACTCAACGGCACCTAACAACAACAACATCATCCTTACGAAGCTAGGAGAGAGTAACTACTTCAATCAGTGAAGACCACATTAACAAAGTGGTTACAGAGCGGAGAAACGATGATGCTTTTGGTGTACTTGTGCCTGACTTCAAGAACTTCACCATTTAAAAAGGTTTCTATAATTTAAGAGACATTAATTGTTCTGCAGAGGTAGTTTTCAATTCCAAAATGCACAGGTTAATGTAAACTGTATGATCAAATAAGAAACTAAAAAGGAGAAGAAGAAGAAGAAGTGTTGAGTTCATGTGGTCTTCTTAGGCTGACTAGGTCAAAGGATTTTACATCCATCTTCCTGAATAAATAGAAATGACGAGAGTGATGTTAAGCATGACACTGACGATGCCCATCAGGTTGACAGGAGCTCTGGTGGCATAGTGTTTAAGAGCTATGACTGCTAACCAAAAGGTTGACAGTGCAAATCCTTTAGCTGCTCCTTGGAAACCCTGTGGAGTAGTTCTACTCTGTCCTTTAGGGTCACTATGAGTCGGAATCGAGTCGATGGCAGTGGGGTTGGGCTTTTTTTTTTGGTTTGATAAATACTAATTTTAATCAAAATCAATAGCATTTTAGTTCCTATTGTTTGATTATAATACTTGAGTGTTAAAAATTGCCACCCATCAAAAATGCAGTGATCATAAGATTCTCTTTTCAAACAGCGGGGATGGGCTGGGTTTTACTACCTCCACAATCTCTCTCCCAGGTATCTACTGACGAACTAGACATCCTGGTCACATAAGGAGGGCACAAGCTGCCTCCTGTGACCAGGGGAACTGCTGGCCTGGGAGTGAAGTTAAGACTATTACTGGGAATCTCAAGTTTTTATTTTCTCATGAGCATAGATAGTAAACTAACTAATTCGTAAAATCTAACCAAAGCACTGGAAAAATAAGCACCTTCCTCACCCTCGCCACCCCCCACCCCCCCGCAAATTTTAACAAATCCCTTTGTGTCCTTCTGTTTGGGCAGAGAGGTGTATTGTGCGACCCAGTCTTTCCACAAGACATTGTGGGTCGATGCAAGCTTAGTGCCAGGATGGCGGGCTTGGATTCAAGCACGAGGAGACTGATGTGTCCGATGGATTTTATGCTAGCTGGAGTATGTGTGCGCTGATCTAGGTTTGGAGGCAGAAACGCCAAGCCTTGTAATGTTGGGTTGCAGGGGCTTTTAGAGGGCCTATTATCTGAGGCAACGGGAAAGAGAAGTAGTGAGGGGAAGTGAAAATTCAAGGTGTTGAAGGAGTATCATCCCATGCCTTCTCATTCATCCCCCTGGAGAGACTCAGCTGTGGAAAACGGAGAGAAAGGCCTAAGCTAAGTTTGCAAGTTAAAATACAGGACGCCCAGTTAAATCTGAATTTCAGATAAGCAGCAAACATTGCATGCGACAGACTTAACCTAAAGATACATATTCCTTGTTCATCTGAAATTCAGATTGAATGGGATATCTTGTGTTTTATTTACTAAATCTGGCAATGCTCACTTATACTTAGAACCAAAGACAAATATAAAAACAGAACTCCAGTGTACTCCAAGGGAATCAGTAGGCCCAGAGTTTGAGAGGGTAGGCTCAGGGATGGTGGTAGATTAACTAGGATTTGCAGATCCTTCCGTCCAAGGGTGGAGTCTATCGCCCCATCTGTTGAGTCTGGGCTGACCCTGGGACCTGTTGTAGCCAATGGAATGCATCAGAGATGCTGTGTCACTTCTCAGCCTTGGCCACAGGATGCCTGGCAGCTTCCAATCTCCCCTCCTGGACTTCTGGACCACCATGCTCTGAAGAAGCCTAGGGTGAAAGACCAGGTGTAGAGACAGCCCCAGGTGCCCTGCCATGCCTGCCACCCCAGCTGAGAGACCCAAACACATGAGAGAGGCCATCTCAGATCCAGCTGTGGTCCCAATAGCAGAGGAATGCAGACTTGGAGTGAGACCAAGTGAGGCCTCAATAGAGAACTGATACAGACAGGAAGGGAGAGAGCATCTGGTATGTGAGCCAGTATCAGCCTCATTGGGTAAAGGGTTACCTAGAAGGAAGGGTTGGGAATGATCAAGAAGACAGCAATTGGGAGAGATTGAAAACTGAGCTAGAGAAAAATAAAGTGGCAGTGTACACCTAAAGCTCACCTGAGCTCTGTGAGGGAGATTTCCTGAGATCTTTCCTTCCCACAGGAAAAATAATTGTGGAAACCTTGGGATTCTACTCAAGGCTAAGGGGCTGGGTGCTGATATTTGGTCCAGCCTCTTACCAACTTTTGGAGAAGTCATGATAGGGAAGAGAAAACACCAAGGATGCATTTTGCGGAGGAAGCAGGCAGAAATCACGCCACCATTGCTTTTGCAAGTCTTGCCCACTGCAAGACTTCTAAGTGCAGGGTCAGGGAAGAGGAGAAGGAATAAGCACACCCCAGATACAGTACCAAAAATGGGCTTTCTCGTGCAGATAGGTTTGGGATTACATAACCCAGCCCACAAACCAAAAACCAAACCTGTTACCGTCGAGTCAGTTCTGACTTACAGTGACACCATGTGTACAGAGTAGAGCTGTGACCTTTCAAAAGCAGATCACCCGACATTTCTTCTGAGGTACCTTTGGGTAGGTTTGACCTGCCAACCTTTCAGCTAGTAGTCGAGTACTTAACCGTCTGTACTACCCAGAGAACCCAGCCTCCAAAGGGGAAAGAAATCCTCTGATGACCACCATCCTACAGTAACAGCCTTTCTGCTCCTAAACCACTCCTCCTACCGTAATTCAGGCCAAAGGGTCAAGCAAACTCTTCACAGTGGGAAGGTTCTGAAGATGAAGGAGGTCAGTCTACTGTGACTGACAGTCAATTACCTACCTGACAAGGTTCTTGTCAACACTCAATGGCAGAATGTGTTCACTATCAGCATCTGCCATATAATATGTGCTTGATAAATGGAAGCTGTTACTTATTTGTGGGTTTACTATGTGACTTAAAACGTCTATATACAATAGTTTTAAATTTAATTGTGCACACGGCCATGTTTTTTCTTTAGCCTGCAATGCCCTGAAAAACAATGGCTGTGTTTTATTTACATGTGTGTGTCATTTTATAGCAAACAGTTCCTACTAGGCACTCTACAAATATTTGTTGAGCAAATGGAAGAATAAATGAATGAACAAATGAATGGAATAAGACACGTTTGCTGAATTGGATAAAAAGATGAACAAAAAGGAATGTGAATTTCTACTAGTGTGTTTACTGTTGACAGCCCAAACTTTGGTGCAGAGAGGGTGGGTCACATGTTCACTGTTAGGGCTCAAAGAAAGTCCCCCGGGATCTCCATGTATCTACGTCCAGCAGAGTTAAAGACTTTCCCGTGTCTTCTCCCTTAAAAACTGCCAGACCAGGCAGATTATGTATTTTCTTTTACTCTTGTTCTTTATTCCTAACCAGTTTCCGTAAGAGTTGAGCCTGATTCATTGTGACCCCATGTGTGTCAGAGTAGAACTGTGCTCCATAGGGTTTTCGATGACTGTGATCTTTTGGTAATAGACGGCCATGGCTTTCTTCCAAGGTGCCTCTGGGTGGACTTGAACCACCAGCCTTTCAGTTAGCAGCCCAGCCACTCAAAGAGAAACACTATAAGCGTGGGAGGCCGAAATTAATAGTCAAGATTTGGTATTCATCACACGTGTTTATGCTTCTAGAGGGCAATTAGAGGAAGACGCTACAGTGCCTGCCACTTCCAGCAAATGAAGCAAGCTGGTTAATAAGTGGCCTCAGAGGGGAGAATGCTGGTGAGGATGCCGCGCCACAGAAGACACAGTAACACCGGGCGTTTTCAAGGAATGTAAAGTGTGACTTCTGTTGAAAAGATGAATGAGATTCAAACAGCAAAAAAGAAAACAAAAACTAGAAAAAAACACTCATTAATCCTCAGAATGATGAGCTAGGAAACTGGAATAGGTACTTGGCACTAACGAGTTAACTTCCCCAAACAAGAAGCTCTAGGAAAATAAAGCACATTAGACCAGGATGCATCTTCTTTTTTGTCTTTATTTTTTAAAAAATAATTAACTCCCCAAATCCCGCAGAGCTCTCAATACGAAAATGATTTCTATTAATTCCTCAGTTAAAGGAGCCCCATATGTGTCTGTGATCTGCTCCTAGAAGCAGGGAGGGAGGGAGCTAACCACTGGAGAGTATTTCTGCCATTCTGAAGAGAGGCTGGATAAAAGTTAACTTTCAAAATTCAATGTCATGGATACATGGTCCTTGGTCTGTGCTTACTCACCGTGGTCGAGGATATATTTCACAATCTCCCCGTTGCCGGTTTTAGCTGCGTAGTGAAGGAGTGAACAGTGCTCAGGTCCCTGGATTAGCAGGCTGCCTCCATTTTTATAGCTTTCTATTAGCTGAAAAAGAGACACATGAGAAGATGCTCAGGTGGAGTCCGGAACAAGGGTAACTGCTAACTGGTAATAAAATGGGAGCCATGTAGCAAACCACTAATGTTTCCAGCCACAGAGGACACGGCAAAGTCAAAGAGATGAAGTAACACCCCTGGATTGCGTTATCGCTCAAGTTGACGGCCGGCGTCTCACCTAACTCCGGGGAGGATGTGTGGGCATTGAACAGCCAGAGGAAACCAAAGCACGCTGCATTACTTAATGCTTTTCTTTTTTTTCTTTTCCTTTTTCTTTTCAGGGCACTGATCTCTGTCCCAGGAGAGGGAGGGTTGGAGAAGAGAACAAAAGCGTACTCAGCGTTCTCTTGAGTGAAAGAATAATTAGGGCTACGAGCAGGAGAAGTGTGGTATCTGGTAGCTAAGCTCCTTTCTGAAGTCTTCGTTTTTCTCAGTGGCTAATGACCCTATCTAGAGAATATAAAAGCTGCTTCCAATTGCCCTGCGTAAACCAGGACTGCTCACCTGTACACACGCGCACACGCGCACATATATGGGTACACACACACGCGTGAATACATGGGTACACACACAGCTATTGCTTCCTTGTTCGTCCGGATCTGTGATCCAGCCTGTGTGTCTTCTGTCAACCACTCGACACAGACCTAGCAAAGCTAGAGATGATTGCAGGTTGAGAACCAAAACAATCTAGAAAACGGAGTCGCTTCTATCTGAGAACAGACTGGAAACAAACAAAAAACCAAATTGTTTGGCAGCCTGAGGATAAGGTGGCCCACTGAGGAGACAGTCTAAATTCATGAAACGTTGAACGTTTTACAAGTGTAAATGGGTCCCCGTTCTACAAACTCCAGTGTAGCAAAACAAGAGAGGCTTTCTGAAGCTTCTAAAAGGTAGTTTTAGGACAAATAAGAATGAAATAACCTAGCATATAGTAAGCAAACAGGGACAGGTTTACTCCCAAGAAGTTGGATGGCACAACATTTTGGATAATCAGATACCTCATCAGGTCAAAGAGGGTAGACTCACAGTTCATGCCTTTACTCAGATACACTGACGGAGCTGCTGTGGGCCAGATGCCAAGGACTCAGAGACGAATGTGACTCAGGAGGCAGATGTGTGAAGGATGGAGAGGGTCACCACGGGCACCCAGGAAGCATGAATCCGGGGATGGAAAAGGAGCCGGGGAGACTTCCTGGGAAATGGCTAGAAAGGAGGCCCTGGATGGAAGGGCAGAGATCTGGAGGCTCTTCCTCCCTAACCTGTGGGCCAGCAGGTCAGGGAGGGGCAGCGAAGAGTTTTCCACAGAAATCTCAAAGAGAACCCTGCTCTGTTCAACTGCAGCGTCCCAGGCTAGCACTCCCTTTCCTTGTGGGCACAAAGGATCCAGGCTCAACGAGCGTCCAAGAGCAGCGAACAGGCCCTGTTGTGTCTTTACTCCCCACAGAAACTAATGCAAGGGCTTTCGTGTGGTAGGTAGTGAGCAGGACAGGCTTCATCCGTTGGTGAGAAGCGGCTTTGAGCTACTGAGCTGTACGGCATGGAGAACGTTTTCTCTTCCCGGTAACAACACCCAGGAACACTATGGTCTGGCCAGTGGCACAGGCCCCATTTGCAGGGTTATGCTCCCTGGAATGGCAGCTTATGCAGGTGTTTGCAACTGCCTCACCTTTTGTTTTCCACTAGGAACCTGTCAGAAAGGTAGCACAGGTGTTCCTTGGTTTATACAGCAGGCGCGCGTCAAAAACGCTGTGCACCAGGGCAGTGCTTCTCAGCTTTCCTTTAAGGCTTTTAGCCTCTGGAGCTGCAAGGGCCCCATTCGAGACAAGCTGATGGGCCAGGCACGCCTCTGCCCTTCAGCAGCTGGCACTGCTGTAGAACCAGGGATCAGCACCAGCGTGGGTTATGCAGGGACACAGGCAGCGATCAGCGCCAGAGCTGGGGGTGATGCGGGAGCAAACACAGGTCGCTGAATATATTACGGGATTCAACAAATACTTGTATCTCTACCACACTAACATGCACTTCCACAGCTAACACTATAGTAACAGGAATAACTTCGCTAACACTTTAGAGCCACTTCTGAGTACTTACTAGGAAGTCTGAAGAGCTTTCCATGTATTATTTCATTCAATTCTCATGACAAAACAGAGAGCGGTAATATTACTGTCCCATTTTACAGATGATGAAACTGAGGCACAGGGAGACTCAAATAGCTGCACAAAGACTCGCATCTCGTGGAGGGCACAGCCAGCACCTGAACGCAGGCCGCGGACTGCAGAACGCACGCTCACTCCTTCCCTGTAAACTAAACTCACCGGGTCGTGCAAGCACAAGGTGGATCGGGGGGTGTCCTCGTTTGGTTAACTGGGATCTCCAAAACAACAAACTGCGATAATGTTGGAAGACGTCGGCTCTGGCTTGGAGCATGCATTTCTAGGTGTTATTTAGGGAGTTTTAAAGATGCATTTGTTTCAAGACTTGTCTGAGAGGAAACATTTAAATCTTTAAAATGCTAGCCTCTGGGGAGCAGGAATTCTGGGCGCAGGGAGCACTAACACTCTGGAGCCCTTTGCCGGTAGGAAATGCGGGGGTGGTGTAAAGGCTCCCCTCCCTCTCTGCTCAGCCTTGGGGCTCACTTCCCCAAAGAGCATCCTTCCTCTTCCTACTCGGCCAGGCTGGCGGGTGACGCATGAGGTATGGGATCGTGGAAGCTTCACTGAGGAATGACGTTGCTCTGAAGTCCCTAAGGAACCACCAAGAGCTTTGGCAGGAGGATCTCTTACCTTCATAAGGTCACCAGCTATTACTGCCTGCAAAATTGCTGTGGAAGACAAAAGAGAGATGTCTTATTAGTAGAAGACCCTCTCATTAAATACTACAAAGGGCTGGGTCCATATTCTAGAGGAACACTCTATATTTCAGGCAGGGTCCGGGAAGGAGATGGGTGCCAAAGGCTGACGCTCTGTGAAACGGATTAACGGCCTCTCTCCAACCCCTCCCTACCCAGACACCCCTGCCATAGATCATTCTAGAACTTACTTGCACCCCTCCCCAGCCCTGGTACAGTAAAGAGAACATGGAATTTGGAGTCAATGATTGGGTTCAAGTCTTAGCTCTGATACTTATAAGCTGTGGGACATCAGGAAAATTATTTAACCCCTCTGAGCCTCAGTTTCCATACTGGCACAAGGCCCAGTCTAAATCCTGTAGGGTTGTTGCAAGGATTAATGATCATATAAATGTTCCCAACCCATCTACTGATGTACAGTAGGTGACTAATTATGACTGTTTCCTTCTTTCCGATTCTTTCCACTTGGCCCTCTTGGGGTCCAAGAAATCACAAGCATTTTTGTGCGTGTATTTTTTACTAGTAATAAGTACCTACTATCTTGGAGATAAAGGGGAATAGAGCCAGCTGAGAGAAAACAAATAGTCTTTAACTGTGTCCTTGAGAACAGAACCACAACTTTGGCATCTGATTCCCTGGTGGCTCTTACGGGCAGAACGCGAAAGGTCTCAGGTAAGCTAAATTAATTGTAGGAATATGTGGTGTTAGGGGAAAAAAAGAAAAAGAGGTGTCTACTGATATGTGTGTACAAGGTGGGATGGAGGAGAGAAATGAGAAAATATTACTGATAAAAAGGGAAAACAATATATGAGTGCCTATTGACAATTACGGTTTCTAAAGGGAACTATTTGCACTGCGATGGAAAAAGTTGGTTCGGAAAAATAGATCCCTAAACTGTGAAATGACTCAAATAGTAAATTATTCTGAGGCCTTAAATTTGCAAAATTTAGAAGAAGAGGAATTTAAATTTATTTTTACAAAGTGTCATTTATTCTTCTTGCTTTAGTAGCTTCATAACGAGTTATCCAGAAATACAGTATCATACATCACTGCCTGTCTCCTGCCCGTCACTAAGCAAAGCCCTCAAATGTCTTATGTGGAGCATTTACGAGTCCTGGTGGCCAGATGCGAAGGATCACAGGCAGGCCAGACGCAGCCACTGGCACATGGCTGAGTCTTTCCCTTTGGCCAAAACAGACGCCTGGGAAATCTACAGAGCTGATGAGGGCTACTGAGCATGGGAGGAGGAAGGAGGGAGGAGGAAGCAGGAAGAAAAGATGGATAAAAACGGAGAACAGAGAAAGGAGAGGGGAACTTTTCATCTCCAAAACAGGCTGTAAGCAATATACTCTTTGCATCTCCCTGGGGCTCCTGGGACAACGCCTGCACATTGCAGACGCACAATAATTAGTGTTAAACTGATTTAAAGGAAAGCAAAGAGAGAAAAGGAGCAAGAAGGAGAGAAAGATTAAGAAAAAAGAAGAAATAAAATTAGTGAAATGTTATGGGTCAAAAGAACCTAAGAAAGCATTCTATCTGGATCTTCATTTTATACAGTTGACTCTGACTCATGGCAACCCCCTACGTGTTAGAGGAGAATTGTGCTCCACAGGGTTTTCAATGGCAGAGTTTTCAGAAGTAGATCACCAGGCCTTCCTCCCAAGGCACTTCTGGGTGGACTTAAACCGCCAACCTTTTAGTTAGCAGCTGAACATGTTAAACATTTGCACTACCCAGGAACTCCAGGAAAGAAATTAGGTTAGAAAAATTGCATGAACTTACACACAGAAGTTCAAAACATCAGTACAGCCTATGTTTTCAAGATGGCACAGAAATATTTCTCAGGAATTACAAGTTAGAAAGAAAGATATAAAGAGGAAGGGAGAGAGAGAGAAATAAAGGAAGAAAGAGGAGAGAAAAGACAAGAAAACATAATTCATTAATTTAAGGTGCTTGGGTAATAAAATATGGTATACAGAAGCAAGAAATCAAGATGATGAAAGAATTCCCCATGGCAAAGTCTATTTAAAAAAAAAAAAAATTGCCATCCAGTGAATTCTGACTCATAGAGACCCTATAGGAGAGAGTAGAACTGCCCCATAGAGTTTCCAAGGAATGGCTGGTGGATTCGAACTGCCGACCTTTTGCTAAGCAGCCATAGCACTTAACCACTACACCACCAGGGTTTCCAAAGTCTATTCCAAAGCACTAAAGATGTATGTATATATGGATGGATGGATGGATGGGTAGGTGGGTGGATAAATGGATGGATGGATGAGTAGACTGATGATAGGTAGATAGATACATGATTGATAAGTAGATAGATAGATAATAGATAAATAGATGATAGATAGATAGATAAATAGAAAAGAAGAAGAAAAGAAACAGGAGAAGCTGAGTTAAAACTTATTGACCAGCCTTGGAGTTCAAGGTAAACTTCTTAGAGGCGGTGAAGCTTAAGCTGACTCTTAAGGAGGGGTTGAAAAATCCTTGCAAAATTTGGGAGGGATACAGATAAAAGACGTGGAAGTTAGAGCTCATGGTGTCTGTGGGCACCTGGAAGGAGCCCCACACCATCACGTCTGCAGGGAGAGCAGCCTTGGGGATGAGTTCCTGGGGCCACTCCAGCGAGGGCCTTGAAGCTAAGGGACGTGAGTTTTATCTGCAGATGAGAAGCCTTTGCAGAGTTCAAAGCAGACCAGGGAGCCCATCAATTTCCGTAGGCATGTCAGTTTGACTCTGCTCTTCCCCTCCCAGACATAGGGTTAAAACCTGCTCCCGGTTCCCCGTCCCCTGCAAACCAATATCTCCAGATGGCCCTAATTATAGCCAGAGCCTTTCTCAACTTCAACCTCCTACTCATTCAGCAAGCATTGTTTGTTATACTCCCTGGTTTCAACACACTCCCAGTCTGAAGTCCCCACAAGCAGGTGGAGGATCGTTTAACAGAATCATAGCCACAAATAATTTCCAATGTACTGGATATGGAGAGCATGAATATTTATCTTTAAGTTGCGCAATACATCCAAGGGAAGCTATTACACAAACATTATTAGGCACAATGCTCACGCCTCTCCTTTGTTAATGTTCTGCCCTAGGAACAATGTTGTTTAAGATTTATTCGGCATAAAGAGAACTGGAATCCATTAGTATTCAACTCCAGATAATAACCTTCTGAAAGATTAAGCCTAAAACAAAATAATGCGTTGTTGTGATTACAGTATTATTCTTTATTATCTCTTGAGCCCTGAGCTTGCCTTCTTGTCTTTTCCAAAACTCCTTCATACTGAGGAAACAATGTTCCCAAATTCAAAGAAGGAAGGGAAGTCAAACTGTTAATGGGACATGAAGGTTGTTGAGTAGATGACAAATGAGTTTTTCTGGAAAATGAAATCACACACCCTTAGGTAGCCAGACAGGAATGCAGGGGGGTAGAGACTTGAGAAGTCTGTCATTTCAGAGGTCAGAAGTTGAATCATTGATTCACATGATATGGATTATTTTTCCTTCAAAACTAGGCCTTCCAATAAATAGCTGTCCAGTAAAAATATCCCTGGACAGAAAACGAGCTGGCAAGTCAAGACCACAAGGAGTGAATCGTCATCTTCCTTCCAGCAGACGCTCTTAGTTCTGGATTCCCCAGAGGCTGGAGGTGCTCAGACAACCCCGCCCGGAGGGAAAGACGGCTCCTATCACACCTGATCGGGACACCAAACATCAACCCTCCGGGGACAGAGGCATCGCTCCAGGCCCGTTCTGGGTGGTGGTGATGCCGCCGATGTGTAGAACAAAGGCCATTCCCTCACGGAGCTCCTATTCTGCTAGGAAGTCCCAGACAAGATCTGGCTTTATAATGAGGAAAGGATAGATTGTCACTGAACCCAAAATCAGATGGCCATCGTTGCTGTTGTCAGGTACTGTGGAGTCCATTCCGACTCAAAGTGACCCCGTGAAATAGAGTAGAACTGCCCCATGAGGTTTTCTAGGTTGTAATCTTTTTTTTTTTTAATTGTGCTTTAGGTGAAAGTTTACAGCATAAATTAGTTTCTCATTCAAAAATTCATACACAGATTGTTTTGTGACATTGGCTGCAATCCCCTCAATGTGTTAGAACTCTTCCGCTTTCCCTTTACACTCCAGGTTCCCTGTGTCCATTTGTCCAGTTTTCTTCCCTTCTTGTCTATGCTTTTGGGCAGGTGTTGCCCAAAGGTGCGCATTCCTCCTGTGCATTATTGATTGTTTTATAGCACTGTCTAATCTTTGGCTGAAAGGTGGACTTCGAGAGTGGCTTCAGTTCTGAGTTAGCAGGGTGTCCAGGGGCCATAGTCTCAAGGATTCCTCCAGTCTCTGTCAGACTATTAAGTCTGGTCTTTTTTTGTGAATTTGAATTTTGTTCTACATTTTTCTCCCACTCTGTCCGGGGGCCTCTATTGCAATTCCTGCTAGAGCGGTCGGTGGTGGTAGCTGGGCACCATCTAGTTCTTCTGGGATCAGTCTGGTGGAGGCTGTGGTTCATGTGGTCCATTAGTCCTCTGGACTGACATTTTCCTTGTGTCTTTCGTTTTCTTCATTCTCCTTTGCTCTGAATGTGCTGGGACCAATAGCTGTATCTTAGATGGCCACTCGCAAGCTTTTAAGACCCCAGATGATATTCACCAAAGTAGGATGTAGAACATTTTATGAACTGTGTTATGCCAACTGATCTAGATGTCCCCCCGAGGCCATGGTCCCCAGCCTTCAGCCCCAGTAATTCAGTCACTCAAGGTGTTTGGGTGTGTCCAGGAAGCTATTATAACTTTGCCTTGATCAAGTTGTGCTGACTTCCCCTATACTGTGTGTTCTTTCCCTTCATCAAAGTTAACACTTGTCTATTATCTAGTAGGCTGAAATCTTTATGGGAGCAGGTCACCAGGTCTTCCTCCTGTGGAGCCATTGGGGGGCTTGAACCACTGACCTTTCAGTTAGCAGCAGAG